CGAGAAAGCTGGCAAAGCATCAGGAGAACATGATCAGCAAAGAGGTGGCACTATGAAAAAATCCAATAATTGGATTTCCGAGAATTTCCAAATTCAAATAACGAAAATCGAGAATCGAGAAAATAACAATTTTCCGGAAATTCTTGGATATGCTGCAAAATTAGTTACTATCTTACTAAACGCTGTTGCTCATCCTGTCCAGAAATGCCAACTTACTGTGTCGGGTGCTATTGCTAGTGGTATTTTGTCAGTGACATTAACCTATCACGAGCAAAAATATTACCTTTAAAATTTTTATCATTAATTTATAGATAATTGCTATGTAATACAGCATAAAGATTCTTTGCTTGCTGTACTTATTTGAGTGCAATATTTATTGCTTTGGACGTTCCACATGAACAGGTTACTTTCTGTATCTGATATATCTCGCATGCCTAAATTTTAACTAACACAGATAGTATATTTAACTTTGGTGTATTAAATAAAGAAATATAGTATAAGTAATCATCAAATATTTGTTCTAGGTCAGCTTATTAATTTTTTATACAATGGATGGTATTGTCTTATTTAATGTGTTTCTCAGAACACATAAAACTCAACTTGAATCTTATGGTGTCCCACAATTATTCTGGAAAGTTTTGTACACGAAGTTAAAAGATCAGGTTTACGATGCTGGCCATGTCTTCCAGTTGGCAAAGGTAGAATATGAATGTGGAGAAAGGCATGTTACAGAACCAGTATGGAAGCTAATTGTATCTATGGAAAATGGCATATCTGTGCAAGATCCCAATAATATTTATCTTATTGATCATGCATGGACATACGACGCCAGTGGTGCTCGACAGAATTTAATTCAGGTGCCTGGCCTACTCGATCGAATGTGTGTCCTCATGGGACTAAACACTGAGGCAGATGAGCAAGAGAAAATCAAGAGTGTTTTGAACGAAATGTGGCGTTACAATCAATCGTATTCAGTTAACTATGGGGAGATAGAAGATAGAATGCCAATATGGTATATTATGGATGAGGTTGGTTCAGCAATAAACCACAGCGACGAGCCAAATTTTAGAGCTGTCCCTTTTCTGCATATGGCAGGTGTAATTTATACGCTTCTCTTTCCTGTAAGAGATGTTGCTGCAGGGGATGAAGTCACGAGGGATTTTGTAGAGAATCAGACGAAGGATGCTGAAAAAAGACGCTCGTTATTGTTGCCTTGGGTCCACAGTACTTTTAAAGACGAAAATTTTCAGCAGACTGAGCCAGATGCAGATTATTTTTTAGCAGGTCATATTCCCGAAAGTCTGCCGGAGAACCTGGACGTGGTGAAAATAGATGTTGATAGAAGATTGAAGGTATTTTCACCATATAATTACGTAAACAACTATTTGACAGATCCGGCGTTTGAAATCACTGACAACAAAGAGGAGGCAGACATTTTATGGCTCGTATCTCACTACAAGACTTACAAAGAATTAAATGTTTCCTCGCCTAACGTTTTTGTAAATCAATTTCCACATGAGAATGTTTTAACGACAAAGGATCTTTTATCGATTGTATGCAGAAGAACAGCAATGAACAAGTTGTATGATTCAGATACCCTCGCGACTTATCCAGCATGGTTACCGACGACGTATAATTTAAGCACGGAATTGGCACAGTTTGTCGCTTATTTCACGCAACGAGCAGAGAGGAATTTGGATAATCACTGGATTTGCAAACCGTGGAACTTGGCGAGAGGCTTAGACACTCATATCACAAACAATCTCTATTACATTCTGCGACTGCCTAGCACAGGTCCGAAAATCGTGCAGAAGTACATCGAGCGGCCAGTTTTGTACAACAGACCGGACATAAATGAAGTAAAGTTCGATATGAGATACGTTGTGTTGCTCAAGTCCGTAAAGCCGCTACGCGCGTACGCTTATGCAAATTTCTTCCTGCGTTTTGCGAATCAGCCGTTTGCACTGAACAATTTTGATTCGTACGAGCAACACTTCACCGTGATGAATTATACCGAGGAGAATCCGCTGTTTCACATTAAATGCGCCGATTTCATTGTAGAATGGGATAATCAGTATCCCGATTATCCCTGGGAAACTTATATTGAGCCGAAGGTTCTCTTCGTCTTACGACAGACCTTCGAAGCCGCGATCGCGCAGCCGCCGCCGAAAGGAATAGCCGAGAGTCCGCAAAGCAGAGCCGTTTACGCCGCCGACTTGATGCTGGAATGGAGAGAAGACTGTGAAATGCAGCCCAAGCTGTTGGAGATCAATTTTACGCCCGATTGCCAACGGGCGTGCGAATATTATCCAGACTTCTACAATGACATTTTTAAATGTTTGTTCTTGGATATCGAGAATCCAGAAGTGTTTCACGCATTGGATACAGCCGGAGAGTAATATCAGATTGTTTATATATGCTGCTTTCCTTTTAGATAACACAGTCGAAATTTTTGTCACAAGTCGACACATGTCGCTGTTTGAATAAAAATCTAAATGGACACGTTTCAAACTCAATCGACACTTTTCGACTCTGCTCGGGAAGAGAGTCGGGTGTGTTTTTGACCGAAGAATGCATCTGCTCCGAGTGTTTCGACAGAACCTTTTCTTTAAATCTTTGCCATTTCACGGTGATAAAGTGTGCTCGAGTGTGTTAACTCGTGTCAATTTGTGTCTCCTAAAAAGAAAGCAGTCATAATTTGAAGTAAAGTTGTGATAATTTTATTGCCGGGTTGATTATATGTGTATTTTGCTAAAGTAAAAATATATTTTTCAAGTATTTCTTAATCGAGTGTTGCACTGTTGCTGTAAGTTTCCCACTGTGGTGTTAGGCCGACTATATAATTGAATTATTCAAAACGCGTGGCCGTTCGCCTAAATGAATTCATATTCATGAGTCATGAAAATACATATATGTGATCATTGAGCTAATCATATTTCGGACTCATATTCATATCCGGCCGGTGTATTTGTATTTATTTTGTAACGTCATTTTCGATATTTACATAGATTTCTGATTTAGCATCAATTATATTTACATTAACGACCGAATTGCATTTTAATGACATTTGTAAATTATGGCAGTCCCAGGCAGTTTGCAACTTTGCGTTATCTTTCATTCATTAAAATTAATTAGCATGAAGAATCCGCGGATTTAATTGCAAGCCTAGCCTGGAGCGTGTATGTGTAATTTTTAAGTAAAGCGCCACGAATGGATTAGTTGGTGGAAAACACGAGTAGATCGGCGTAGCAATCGCTTTCCTTACCACCTCCAGGAGCAGCGACCCCTCCATTTTTCTCTGCGTTGAAGAGAGAGAGAGAGAAACAGACCGATCGTTGTATGAAATGTTGACTGGTGTGATAGAGACGTATGTATATACAACAGTAGTCTTGACTCTTGACAAAATTTGTTTCTCTACGTACAACTAGGAATATCCGTCCAACATGAGACTCGTTTGCGCCGCATTAAATTGCAGGTATTCGTCAGAAAGTGAGGATTCGTCGAATGTCAGTTTTATCAATTTTCCCAACGATGACACGTAAGTGCAATACACCTTCCAATAGGTTAACCAACATTGTCGCGTTTATTCTTAACGATGCTTGGATAATCATTAAGTGCATTTTTTTACCTCATTGTTGGTCAAATGCCACCTGTTATTATTGCTAATGTAGTACAGTTATCTATAATTATCATACTTATATCACTGGCTTCTTCATTCATAATACAAAACTTGATGATTCTTTTAGAGCTAAAGTATGGGCGGAATTTTGCGGCAGATCGGATTTGGTCGCCAAGTCGAATGCAGAGTTGCATTCGAATTATTACGTTTGCTCCCACCACATTGAAGATCACTGTTACGTGAGCAAAATTGTTCCTGTCGTTCTAGAGGAAGGTACCGTTCCTACTTTATTTAGGACCGACCTGACTACCGACGGCGAAAGCTCGATAAATATGTTTGACAAAGAGCAGCATCTCCATCAAGTAGACGATGGTGTGCCTCGAACGTACTGTGATATGAGTGTCAACGAGCTAGACGAGTATCATAATATCTCTGTTAGATTTTCTAATTTATGTCGAATCTGTGGCAAGTCCACTCTCGATGGAATAGACGTATTTGCTGCCGAGGGTATAGCCCTTAAATTAAAAGAGAGGATAAATTTGCATCTGCCCATCTCAATTGACATAGACGATTCATTGCCACAGAAAGTGTGTACCGATTGCTGTAATAAGTTGGAAGTTGTACACTCGCTAGTCGTTTCATGCCTGAGAACTGATATGCGTTTGAAACGGATTCTAAATGTCGAGAGAGAGGTAAGCAAGTGCGGTAAAAAATTAGTGTCATGTGTTAGCCGACCGTAATTATTAAGATTTTTACAAATTACACTTTTAATGAAAACTATATTTGTTATGTAATCGATAGATATTTTGTTTTGCAGCCAGAATACGAGACCAAGTACAATGCGTTGATTGACGAATTAGAGATAAGTTCATTGGGGATAAGTTCATTAGAGATAATTCAAGAAATGTATATGAATCATAATACGCATTCTAATTCGTTCACTATAAATAAGATGATAAACTCCGATTCAGAAATAAGTTTGAGAGGATTGGGAAATGGAGAATCTTCTGAAATACAGAATAATCATTTTCAGAACATGGCGAAGAGTATTGTGCCATTAGAACTTGGCACGCTGATCCAAACTTGTAGACAAATTAACTGCAAAAGTAACCTGACCGTTACGGAAGAAATATCAAAAGTTCAAGATAAGACCCAGAATGGAAGTCCTGACGTTTTATGTCAGCAGTGCCAAACTTTTTGTGAAACACAGGAAATATTTGAAAATCATAAAATATTTTGTAGTAAGCAACAAAATGTCTCCAAACATGATATGTCTATAACTACAGAAAGTGGAAGGTCTATAACGTGCAACGAAAGGTTCCAAGTTATCGATAATGTTAAAAGCTGTGAATCAGTACATTGTACTGTTTGCAACCAATCGTTCAAATGCCAGCAGGATTATGATAATCACAAATGCCTTCATACTAATCTTGAAGTAGATAAAAGATGCGGTCATTGCGAGAAAGTATATCGCAATAGAAAAGACTTGTTAATTCATATCATGGAATCGCACGGGGGACGGTTATCATTTAAGTGCTCTACGTGCGATAAAACTTACGAGAAATGGTCTAGTTTAGATATTCACGAAGCTACTCACAGAACAGATAAGCCTTATCTGTGCGATCTGTGTGGAAAAAGCTTCAAACATTCCAATAATTTAAGAGGTCACAAAAGAACTCATTTGGACGAATCTATAAAGAAGAGGCACGTGTGCGAGATATGTGGCAATGCGTTTAGATCACGGTAATGTGCATACTTGTGTTTAATTAAGCAAGTTTTTTTTTGTTCAAATTATTTCGACTAAACTCATAAAAAATATTTTCCGCATCTTTGTACAGATTTCATTTGCGGGAACATATGAATCATCATGATGGCAACAGACCATATTCTTGTGAACAGTGCGGGAAAGCCTTCTACAGGAGGATTCAATTGCGACAACACAAGTTATCTCATGGCTTCAATAGACACACATGTCCGATTTGCGGTGCGACATTTAATCGTAGAGGAAACATGAACACACACATGAAACGGCATAATAACGATAGTGGAGGCTATACATGCAGCGTAGGTGTATTTCGTAAAAACTTTGTCGAAATTATTAAATTTCTTTTCTTTACACGTCATAGATATTAGCCGTATTCTCATAACAAAAATTGATTGGGAGCGTTAAGGAAGGATCGTATGCTTTATTATAGGTTTGCGCATACAGATGTAAAACCATGAGCGAATTAAAGATACATAGGAAAAAGCATACCGAGGAGGAAATAGCGGACAGTATTAAGAAGAAATGTAACGACAAGGAGATATGGCGTTGTGACATTTGCAGTAAGATATTCCCGAGACGCGCTGTCTTGTTAATTCACCAGCGCGTACACGGAGACGATAAGCTTTACGAATGTGACGAATGTGGCAAGAAATTAGCAAGTAAAAGTTCGCTGACGTATCACAAGAGGTCGATGCATTTGAGGGAGAGGCCGCACATGTGCCACTATTGCGGAGACTCGTTCGTCTCGAAAGAGGCACGGCTGATCCACGAGAGGATACACACCGGTGAACGCCCATATAGCTGTAAGGTGTGCAACATGCGGTACAGATGCTCCAGCAATCTCAGCCAGCACATGAAGATCCACGCGGGTCTGAAGCCACACAAGTGCCATTTCTGCAACAAAGGTTTTACGCGTAAAGGTGCGCTAACCGTCCACGAAAGAATCCACACGGGTGTTAAGCCTTTCCCTTGCGAGACTTGTGGTAAAAGCTTCTCGCAGAAGAATGACATGTTAAAGCACGCAAAACGTGCAACGGCGGATCGATGCGGCGCGGCTGGTCTAACGAGATCTTTAAACGAAAAAAATACGTCAAAGCGTACTGCAGTGCACGAACAAGATAACTTGGCAATTTCAAATATTAATTTATCACATTCTTCAAGTTTATGTCAATATTAATGGCTCTTGGAGAATTAAGTAATTTTAGTAGTATCCATGTGGTGAATATGTACAACGAATCAAACATTAGAGTTTCCTATGAGAAGAGCAGATTAAAATCTACTTTTACCCAATTATTATCGTAAGAGGTATGAGAAAATTGTACTGTTAAAACGCGCCAGTGCTTTTCTGTAGACGCAACATGCAATACGTATTCGCTAAATGATTTCTTATTCTAATTATTCTTTTATCTCATATATTACAGTTTCCGATTAGTACAAGTTCTTAAAAAACGCAAAAAATGATCAAATTTGTATAGCCGAATACTTGTGTGGATGGAGGCTTCGAGTTATCAGCAAATGAATAACGATATAAGGATATCCTAGGAATACAGATACGAGTGAGATAAAACTGTCTTGCTGCTGGTAAAACAATATGTCTGGCCGATTATATACCCTTATTGGATATGTCAGTATCCAGAAGCGAAGAGAATCCACGTATTTACGCGTCGGAAAGAATCAAATGTATCTACATCTTCGATATGCAAGTATAATAATATATAAAGAAATCATTGTTTTTCTTAATCTGGATAGTTGTTTAAAATTCAGCATTAAAAATTTGCATTTATATCCAAATTCAAATATACAATCTATTTGATTATCCTCTGTATAATGAGAGACTAAGTAAATGTTATGTTTAACATAACTTCTAGATGTCTGGCAAATTCTCCGAATGTCGGAAGAGCAGAACATGAAGCTCCATAAAGATGATATGCAATTTAGGCGATTTAATGGAGTCTGATGACAATATTCCGCACAAGATTATAATTTGCTAACAAATTGCATCGGCGTCCGTAATATGAGAAAATGAAGATCGCATCGCAAATCGTGTCTCGTGATGTCTTGAATGTAACTTGCTGGACTCGGGCTTGGTGAACAGTCGTCCGAAGGCACTCGTTTATAACTCACAGGCAGCCTTCTTTGGTGGTGCAATAAAAGTCGTTGTTATATATAGAATAATACTCTTTATTGTTTTTGATAGTTGTTGTTTTTCATATTCATGCGTTGCAGTTTCTTTTTACTCAAAATTTTTGTCATTCATTGTCCAATTAAACAACTCCCCGTTTTACTGTTAGTTCTGCTGCTGTTGTTGCTAATATATTTTGGTAGAACAGTACGTGATACAACTCCACGATTTTAGAACAAAGAGAAACGAAAGGAAATGGCGACACGCCCGATCACTCGCGAACACACGTGTGCCGTATTAATCGTCGACCGCATATAGGACTAGAGTAATTGCGATTTTTCTCCCGTGTGACATTCGTTGGCCGATTTTATATATTTTTCTCAATTCCTAAATGATCGAGGAGCACACGTGCTTTTGTGCGCAAGTAAAAACGTGGGTCCGATCGAGTCGCGTGCGTTTTCGTCTCGCTCGCCCCAACGGCGACGACCGACGGCCGAGTGGTCTTTTTCACAAAGTTTGTCATACGTTCATGGTAATTTGCAATGTTATTTCCCTATTTTTCTTTTCAGACGCAACGGCCTCGCAGTGCCACGCTCTTACGTTATGGTCGAGTGATCGGCGCGTGGTCGTCGACGATACAATTACGCATCTCTCAGAGTATAATCTTCGGCTCTGTTAAAACGCGCGTACCCGGCACGCGCGTTGCGAGCGCACGGCGTCAGGGTCGAATCAAGGCGGATGACTCGGAGAGAGTTTGCTGGAGAACGCGGAATAATTTTCAGCGACGTCTCCACTCGATCGCTCGCGTACGGTCAGTCTCGCAGACTCGTGTTTACTCGCGAACGGAAGCGAAAGCGAAGCACCAAAGATGTTGCTGGGGCAGCGCGAGAGAACGCTCCCGAACTCTCGACTAACGCGCTTCCGGACAGTGCTGATGTGACCCGGATGATTCGAAAGTGCCGCTGTGCCGTGCGTTTGCTCGACGCGGCCGACGACACCGCCCCGACTCGCAGCCGCCCCCTTTTTTCTCTCTCTCTTTCTCTATCTCTCCTTTATATCCCATATTACTCTCTCGTTTTCTTTAAATTAATTATCTCTGTGTATGTGTTTCTCTCTGTAACCATCGTTCTTCGCGCTACTATTTACAATGTACACACATAACATTGTGCATCCTTCCTGCCCTAATTTCTTACGACGGCGTCGAATCACGCGCGCCCGATCGCTTCCCAATCGACGGCTGTTCGCCATTGTCTCCTAATTTACAACCTTCTTGAGATGAAGGAACCGAATCGAATAAAAAAAAATCGGTTCGCGCGATGACGGCTTAGACCTTGTGTGACGCAAAGATAAATTCTCGATCAGACATCATCATAGAAAATTTATTTATATTGTAATATACTTGAGCTCGGTGTGGAAACAAATTACGAGTTTAATGTGAATCTTTTGCGCTAGGAAAAAAAAGTACGTTTTGATGTAAATCTCGCGCAATCGATAAAACGCAACGATCTTTGATCGTAAAGTTGGTTCGAACAGATTGCTCGATAAACACGAGAAAAAGGAAAAAAAAAGTCGACCAATACTACTGTGAATGGCCGCGAGCCGTCATAAGCGCGAGTGGGAAGGAATTTTGTCCGAATGTCACCGCGATGATGAGGAAGAATCGATCGCGTGCTCGTCGCCGCCTCGTATTATTTACCAAGATAAATATATACATATATATGCATATAATAATAATAATAATCTTATACACATATACACGCACACGCATATGTACACGTATACGCATACATATATATATACATTTTGTCTTTAATATATAATATATATCTTATATATATTTTCTCAATATTAAACTTATTATATCCTCTTTTTTCATTTCGCTTAAACGTATCTTCGCGCTCGTGCTATTTATACTATTTACAAATTTACGCCTCCATTCGATATTTCGTTAAAAAAAAAAGACAGAAAGAGGAGAAAGGAGAAAGGGAAGAACGGGAAGAAACGCGATAATCGCCCGAGTATCATGTCGCACACACCGCTGCCACTTGTATGCACGTCGGCGTGCCGAGGACTCCGCGCCGCGGCCTTGCCGCTGAACAGCCGTAACTTTCTCCCTTCGGCGGTTTTTAGGCACTTGACGAGATACGCGTGTCCGATCGCGAGCTAACGCGTCAGCGTGTGATCGCGGAAAAAGAATATAAACAAAACTCGACGTACCGCCGATGCCGGCAGCGCTCGCACGTCCTCGCGCTTTCGCTTCTGCGTGGGAGCCAAAACGACGGACGCTGGACCATCTCACCAGGACGCTCGGTAGCATCTCAATGATTTCGCGGTGTCTCTCGGACGTTTCTGACGTTGAGAAGGGACTCGCAGGCAAGAGCGGATTTCAATATTTCCCCTAAGGAGGGGTGTCTTGTCGTTACAGATAATTTTTATAGACTGACTCGCAAAATCGCCTGTGCACTACGATAGAAATATTATATTCCTTTTCTTCGTATTCAGGTTTCTCTTCGTTATCGCTATGCAATTACGTGCAATTTGTCTACGATCGCGAAATGCAGCTGGCACGGGGCTTGATTTGTTTTTAATATAGCAAATTTGTGCACCTCTCGTCAATCGAGAGATATATTGAATTATTTGACTCGGTCTTTCTCGAAGCGGAGAAAAAAGGGTTTCGTTTGCGAAAACGTATGCGATTTGAAATACGCGCGACCGTACGATTCTCCGCTCCCGACATCTCGACTTGGTATTAACATCGTGGAAGAACAACGCGGCTGCTCCACCGAAAAACACAATGAGCAAAGTGCGTTTTGTTGATCGCGTATTAAATCATTATTACGTTATATCTTATGAAAGATATAAGTAGCATATGGCGACAGACTGCCACTTGGAATCGTACTTGAAATTACATTGACTCGTAATTGCGATTATAACGGCATGTGAGAAAGATTTTCTAGAAAAGGATATTGCATCATCCCATTTTCCTGCAGAGCAGTCAAACCGAATCCTTCCTTTAGCGTACAATAACCGGAGGGTGGATCGGCTTGAAATCGAAAAACTTGCCTGTCAATTCGCTTCCGCTCGTCTCGACCTAGTCGGCAGAATGTCCCGGAGTTCGAACGATCGAACGACCGAAAATTGAGTATTTTCCTAATTTCGGGCTGAACGTTAGAGATTTAGACTTGCGTTTTATCGTCAAATTTACATCGAGTCACATTCCGGCGGATACAAGTCCCGTGCAACGCAGCGAAAAGATAAGATATTTGCCAATGACGGCTATAAAGTATCTTAGATCTAGCAATAAAACGAACTCTTTCTCTCTCTCTTTATCGGAAAGAAGCTACTCTTCCGCCTAATCATACTGCTCTTTCCCTGAGAGGTGCGAGCCCTTGCATCTGCTCGGCTTGCGATTCACCCGCGTTCATCTGCCGTTACTAACGTTCGACGCCCAACGCGCATACAACGCATACGCAAAGGACTCGTGTGTGACACTCACGTGCGGTCAGACGCGTGGATTTGTACGTACGCTCTTTCTCTATATTCTCCGCAGCTTGTTAAAAGTAATATTGCTCGTCGTTTCCGCAGAGAAATCACGCGGTGAAAGGGAAGGGGAGGGCAGAGGAGCGTTATCGTCCAAGGGCGGTTTGGTGATAGGGGACGGAGAGGGGGAGATTGCGCGTGCGAGAGGAGGTGTGCCGATCGTATATGTGTTATATAGTACAAAGTAGAAAATGGAACTCGAGGAAGGATCTTCAAAGGAGCGAGGACAGTCGACGCGACTCGCAGGGTGGGACAAAGGTGTGAAGGGTCTCTTCTTTCTCGACGATTCGCGTTTATGCTTAAGAGCTTAGACTTAGTAAGTAACGCATATTATATGTATCTATATATATATATGTACAACAAGTACCTAGCATATCTCGCGTCCGCGTGTGTGTGTGTGTGTGTGTGTGTGTGTGTGTGGGTGGGGTGGGCGTGTGGGCGCGCGCGCGCGCGCGCGCGCGTGTGTGTCGCGTGTTATGTAAGAGAGAACATCATTATATATAATTACAATTGAAATCAATTTTATATCGCGATAATTCTATATCATCCCTTTTTACACACATACGCACGCTCTTTGCTCTCGCACGCGCACTCGCGTTCACTCACATTCACCCTCGCGTTTAAGTAATCAGTCGAGTCGATAAGTTACTATTATTACTCTCTTTCGTAACGTTAGACTTTCTTAAATCGTTTAGCTTTTAAGTATAGCTGCTCTTGAATGGATTCGTGGACGTTGAGGGCGAGATCGCGCACGGATTCACGCGAGAAGATGCGTCCGGGGTCGAATGGGCTTTAAATCGAGCCTTCTGCCTTCTTCACGCGTGCGCACGTCGGCCACTCTTTAATTTATTTTATATAGATATACTATATATATATTTATGATACATTTATGGGAGATCAGTGGCGCGCAGTGGCCACCGTGCGACGATCCGAAGGGGAGAACGTTATCCCGATCTCTAAAATGCAGGTACATTTGTCGACGTCGTACATCGAGACACAAGATATTCACAGGAAGGCGCCGGCGTCTCGTGTTAATCTCCTTGGAACGCATTACCTTTCTCTCTCTCTCTCACACACACACACATGCACACACCATACACACGCACACACGCGTGCGTGTGTACAAAGAAATGCACGACATGGCCTGTTGCACTCGTTGTTACTTTCCTTTATAATTTTTCGATAATTCTTTTTTCCGATATGACTAAACAAATAATTCCGAGATCTGTGGAAAATCTCTTTAATCTCGCTATAATTCAATGCGATAAATTTCATTGAATGATTTTTAGCATTTCCTCCACTGTTTTTTTTTCTTTGGTAAGATATTTAAATATTTTTGTATTTCTTTATTCGTGGGAAGCTCGATGGTCATTCTAATAAAATAATGAATACGAAATTGATAAAATCGAGTTATACCGGTCCACATCATGCATTTTAGGAGTAATGCGTTGCGTTGAAACTTAAAGGAGGTTCGAGCGCTACTTTCTAATCAACAAACATGTTATTAATAAAATTGTATTCAACGACTGAAAAAATAATTTCGCAATAATATTAGTAAGATTATATTCGTAAATGTCATAATATGTAATCAGTTATATTTTAAAAGTTGTCAAATATTAAAAAATAGCAAAATAAAAGTTTTAATATTTGATGCAAATACCAACAGATAACATATTTCCAATTGTGTGTCATCGTTTTCTTCTCGGTTTCACCGATTGTTTCGCCGAAAAATCTAAATTTCTCTCGAACGCGACGATAAATTTATGTAAGTGTTTCCACTAAAATATTCTTCAATATTTACTTTACTATTGCGACAGTTTTTTTTTAATTTGTCTTACATACAAATATGTTAAATGACAAGAAATTTGAAAATGATACAGTTATACGTGCTTGCATACTACTACTTTATAATTAAATATTTAGTAAACGATACTGTAAGAATTATTCAAATTTCTGTTATACATAGTTTGATTATCTTTTGCATCATGTATATATTATAGATTTATCTTTTATTTGGTCAAATGCTCGAACCCCCTTAATGGACTTTGTAAGCTAATAGACTACCTTGCTTGTTTAATTTTTACATTTCAACTTGCGATTAGACTTTGCGATTGAGACAATCGTGTCATACATTTCTCCGCTGAATCGCGGTGGTAAGAAGCACCAAAAGAATTCTAGATAAATACTGCTACTCATTAAAAAAATAATCAGTTGCACAGATTGCTGTTATTAATCAGTGAGTGTCTGCGTTAAAAAATACGTGCCGCTTTGAAAAATTAAAATAACAACTGTATATCTGCGTCTACACTTTATACACGCACATACGTATGTTCGCACGTGTTTGTATCCTAGAATATAAAAAATCAAGGTAGACAAAGATCATTTATGAGATCATATCTTGCATAACTACTGTATAAAAATAACTTTTGTTCTGATCGCAACGTTTTCAAACGAATGCACTCACTGGGTTAAACGCGTATTTTAATATCTAGCTCGATTATGTCTCGCAGTTCTAACACAAATATTTCAACCCTTTCTTTCTCTCTTTCTCTCATTGTTTTCTCACTTTCTCACAGTACATCAGTAATCGAGACACAATTGCACCAACCCGATTCAACCTGTTCAATAATTTGTTTCACAAATCTTCATAAATAACGATTCTATTTTGAATGTGATAAACGTTTCAGTAATTGCACATCTTTCAATGTATCAGCGACATACAAAAATGATGTACAGCCAAGTATCTTCATTTTAAGAGCATTATGTAGATCGGATCCGATTAGCTTTTTAACAGACTTGGCTTTTCTGAATACCCGTGGCACGCCGGGTGAGTCTAGTCGAACAAGCAGAATCTATCGCTAGGCCGCGCGACTGGTAGTGGTGCCGAAGGTGTCTCGAGTTCGAGACGCCGACATCTTCGACTTACATCGTATCACGCTTACGACGGCAGAACCACGCGTCATGACGACCCCGAGTGACGGACGCTTCGAGCAATCCGTGCGAATTCGGAACGTCTTCGGCTTGATGTATGTTCGTGTATGTACATGTGTGTGGGTGTATGCGCGCGCGCGTGTGTCAGAGAATAGAAACACTAGGATGCAGCCGCCCTGTAGCACCGTACGACTTGCGTGCACTCACACTCGCACGTGTCTCTTCGTGTAATATAGGCCACGGCAGTCGTATATATACTATCAGTCTGTCTGTATATACGCGCGCGCGTATGTATATGTTGAATGCGTGTGGATGTGTGTCCGCGTACATATATATATAATATATATATATGTATGGATAGTGTATATCGTTGGTGATTATCATCGATTGTTCCTTCCAGAGACCCCGCACGCCATTCCACGAAGAAAATCCCTCGGACAATATGAGGCTGCGACTCATGAACGAGAACGGCGAGGGAGCCATAAGCTTCCCAGGCCGGAAGACTTGAATCGCAACGTTCTCGTGGGTTTTTCCAGCCTCGAAGAGGAAGCCTCCTCGTACTCGGCGTAACCGACACCTCTCTGTCTTCTCAAATCTCTGTGCGCACTCTCTTGTACATCTTAATCACTTTTCCGAAGATTCGCAACGTGGATCATCGAGTTGGCAGATACAACTGCAGGGACACTGCCTCCCATACAATTCCGTATATTGGATCGTTGTTACGCGCCATTGGAGGATTGATGATTATCGATAATTCTCTCTCAAATCTTGAGACAAATTCTGTCGAGGCATATGTAAATTGCGCTTGTACCTGGTCTCGAAATTCCACGTGGAGATGGTACACGCGTCTCCATGATCTTGTACGCGGTAGCTCAATACAAAATTTGTCGTCTTATTTGTCAGGACACCAGATCATCGCGAGTAGCAGCACCTGTCGACACACGGACAGTAAAGACTTTCTTTCCCTTGTCTCAACCCTTCCCTCATGTCCTCTCGTCTTCTCCCTCTCTGTTTTTAAGTCGTTCGTTAAACCCTCAGAGCGCTCTATTTTGACTGCACCTGCGGATGCCGCGTGTCATGACGCGTCCGTCCCTCGGGGAGCAGATACATTGGGAGACACGTTGATTAGCGATAGTAATAATAGTAGTAGTAGTAGTAGTAGTAATAGTATTAGTAAAAGTAGTAATATAGTATTACTAGCAATAGTAGCGATAGTAGTAGAAGTAACGATAACGATAGTGGTAATAGTCGCAGGAGGGATAGTAAGAGAAGTAATGGTAATGATAGGATCAGTAATGGTATCGAGGATGATGATGGTGGTAGTAGCAGTAGTAGTAGTAGTAGTAGTAGCAGCGGTGGTAAAAAGAGCGGAGGAAGAACAAAAGTGTCACAGAAGATTGTATCGGCATCGGTGTACGTGTCCGTTTCTATGCATGTATGTATGTATGTATCAGTGTGTACGAGTACACGTGTAATTGACACGACAATAAATTAACGCGAAATCGAAAGATAAAGGCTCCTCGAGAGTCGCTGGCCGGATATCGAACGCTCCAGAGGGTAGGCGAGAGATCCGTGTTCACCACCGCTTCTCACTCGCGCGCCTTCGCAGAACTCACGGGCCGCATCGGACCGCTATAGCCGCGGATTTACTTGCCCTGCGGCGTCAGGGGATAGAAATCGATGAGATGACTCAACGACGTCAAAGTCGAGGGCTATGATCCTACGCACATCAACGACTCGTGCGTACTACTGCTGCTACCAACATTGCTGACGCCGGCATTTCCGATAACGTTGCTATTGCCGCAGCTGCTGCCGCAACTGCTTCCCGACATCAGGTGTTGTTGTTGCTGCTGCTGCTGTTGCTGCTGCTGTTGGTGATGATGATGCTGATGATGATGGTGGTGATGATGATGGTGGTGATGATGGTGCTGTTCCTGGGTTGTCGTTGTACTTCTCAGGATGTCGTCTGTCGAAACAGGCGTCAGCTTCCACCCGGGCATAAAGTCCAGGTCAAGATCGGGCCCAATGTCCACATCTAGTAATTCGTTGTTGTTGAGCGGATCGAGCGGCGATTGGCTCGACAGAGATAGTACGCTACCCCAATTGATCGAGCGGCTGTCGTCACTGTCACCGATGCCGGAATCGACATCGGTTTCGCCCGACGACGTCGGCGGCACAGGGAAAGGCGTTAACCTGCCCTGCTCGGGAGGTTGCAGTTGAGCGATCGGCGCCGGTACGACCGGCTCCATAGGTGGCGGACTCCTGTCTCTCTCCATCTCACGTTCTAGGTGTCTTAAGGTGTTGCAAATCAATACCGATCGGTGGAGGCTCGGATCCGGGAATTGGCGATACCTGGCGAGTTTGCACATAGAGATGTTGAGCACGGCGAGCCGTCGTTGCCGATAGCAGGCCCGGCCGCGTCGACACCAGCTAGACTTGGAACCTTCGCAACACCGCTCGTTCGCCCGGTAACTTGAGCCGAGCTCCAGGTAGCTCTTGCCGTTTTCCTCGCGACGTATCGTTGGCGGTTCGTAATGATGAAGGGCGCCCCATTGCGGCTGAGATCTCGACAGCTGGCTATAACCGTTGCTGCCGATAGGACTGACGGCGGCGCGTTGATGGTGATAATAATGTTGCGCGTGGTGATGCAACTGGGTCACTGTGGACGAGGCCGACGTCGAGGGTGACGCCGACGATTGTTGTTGTTGCTGTTGCTGCTGCTGCTGTTGTTGCTGCTGCTGCTGCTGCTGTGATTGTTGCTGCTGCTGTGTTTGTTGCGACGATTGGGAAGATGGATGGTGCTGCGATGGGTGTTGCTGGGATTGCTGCTGCTGCTGTTGCTGCGATTGCGAGGAACTCGTCGTCGTAGACTGGCACGGGTTCGTCGTCTGTAGACAGGGCGAGCTCACCTCCATCTCATAATACGACGTCGATGTCTGATTCAGGGGTGGCCCGTAACTGTCGTCCATTGCCCACCAGCTACCGTCCACGCGTCCGAGCTTCGACGGACTCTCGCCTAAATCCATGTGGAATTCCATGCAGCCGACACCACCCTCTAATTTGCGTTTTCCTGCCGTCGCCTGCAGACCCATCATTGCACAACTCTGAAAGCATCCACAAATTGCTAATATTAGCTTCTTGTATTTCTTTGCGCGCATTTCGTTCTATCTGTATACAAAGACGTATCATCTCTAGTTATAATTCCATCATCTTGTAGATTGAACCGTTACGACGAATCGTAAGTTTATTAAGGGTCAGCGTTATCGTCAAGTTATTTGTCGGTGTTGATACAACAAAGTAGAATGGGCACGTTTAGTTTTGCTCGAGACACTGGAAGGCGAGAGAGTAGGCAAGAGAGGACGTGACTCAGACGCTCGGCACTTGGTCCGAGCGATGGAAAAAGTGACGTCACGCGACTCCCTAGCCTTGCCTGGAAGAAATCATCAGCGGAACGCGGACGACCGCTCGCTGGCGAGCGGGCTCAGTCTCGACACTTCCAGCAGCAATATTTTAGAAACGTTTGCCCGACACTCTTGCGACAGAGGGAAGCCACAAGCGGGACAAAGAGAATTTTTTAAGAGAAACCTAACGTTTCGACAAATCCTTATAATTTTATAAGATAGCTTGGTAGCAAAAAATATTTTCGCTCAAATAAAAATGGAGGTGACGGTGCATTAATTCGCTTCGGGTCGTATATTGTCAAAAAGTACCTATACGTTTAAATAATCAAATCATTTTTGTCCCTAATTATTACCCGTGCCAAATTGATGTGTGTATCGAATTCAATAGAATTCCGAAGAATAAAAATCTTTGTCGTTAAACATGATCGGATTCTGTATTTTATTTAAAAGTCGCACGCGTTTTTCTCGCGAACTGGGAATGAGGTCAAGACGATCCCGAATGCCGAGATTACAATTTCTCTTCGTCTCGTTGTCGATTGTAGGGTGGGACGAATTCGCGTGCGTACCTTGGCGCCGCGGACCCTACGAAAGCAGTATCCACGCAGCCGTGGATGATTTACGCGCGTACGAGGTCGCGCGAGTGAAAGTAAGTAAATAATCGTTCCTCCCTCCAAGCCCTTGCTCACCTCGGGAGACGGAGAGACGCGTTTCTCTGCTGGTGCGAGCAAGAACGCGCTCTCGCGAGCGTGAGAAAGAGAGGTCGAGAGTAGGGAGCGTTAAAAGGGTGAGAGGACGGCGATGATGAAGAGGGGAAGAGTCCCCTCTCTTGTGTATGTTTCGCCACGACGTGCGTGCTCAGTTGTGCTCGGAGATGCCGTGAGATGTCACCAGCGACATGTTTGCCGGATGGCCGAGTCCACGTGGCTTCCACATGACGTTTGATTTTACGGAAGAGGAAAGGAACGCGAGCGAAAGATATGCATTCGTATGAAAAGAGAAAGAGGATGTTTTTGGGCCCAACGAAAAGATAACGGCGACGGTCGCCAGGTCGACCGCAAAGGCTCACGACGATACCTCGGTCCTCCGAGCACACAGAAGCATAACATTCAAAATGAAGGAAGAAGACACGAATCTCTTCCTCATAATCACGCGATTAATCTCGTTACTGAAGTCGATTATCGTCTCTTTGACTTTCGTCGCTCGACTCGATTATAGAACGAATTGCCACTTACCAAACTTTGATAATTCGAACAACTTTCATAAATTCGCGTTAGAAATAGTTGCGGATACTATTCCTATCGCGGACGTTTCCGACTTACGGCTTATCAAATTTAAAATCTTCCCTCCCCCCCTCTCTCTTTCAAGAAAGAGGCGCGTCTTCCCTTTTATGTAATGCGTAACTTCTAAATCGACAATTGCGAAATAAAATTATTCGGTAGCGCCTTGACAATCGAGAGTCTCGACTTGATGCCGTGCGTGTTTTTGTTGTGCAAAATTGAAAGATCTCGACTGTAGTATAACTAGTAGGTCCACTCTCCGTCGGTTCCTGAGATCTTTACAGTCCCGATCACGTGGTACTGCGCCATCGTTTTGGCCAGCAATCCAGGAGCGTGTGTACGTATTTGTCAAAGCTACGCTACCACACATACAACTTTGCTCGCATTGGTCCGCCCAGAACAATGGCAGATGCGCAGAACAAGCAAATGACGGCGTGGACTTACTATGATCTCGACACTTGGTTACGTGCAGTCTAAAGCCAACGGCACACGATACTATTTTTTTTCCACTGGATTGCTTACGAGAGCCAGTCAGGATTTAACATTGAGTCACCTGATATAAAACTCTGCATCCTTATTGGTTCTCGTACGCAATTTACTTGGAAAAATAGTATCGTGTGCCGCTGGCTTTATTCATTAACGCCTGGACCTGATGTATGGATGGAAATAAAGATTATGAAACTGTGAATCCTAGTAAAACTGAGGTCCAGACATCGACGAATAAGACCGTACGTCTTTTCATAAATGAGAACTGATAAGTAAGACTGCGAGGTGTCCGCCGTTCCACTATGCCGAGCGGCTAGCGGGATATTAAATTTCGCGAATACATTTTTATATGTTCGCTCGCTTGAAACGTTTTGCAAGCGAATTTCGTGCGCGAACGGGGTGATCTAATGGCTCGGGGAACAAACGTCACCGCGCTTCCATCGAACTCGGCGCCCGCGCGTCATTACCAACGCCGCCTCGAGCTGATAGCGCGCGGCTCCGCTACAGCGGTAGTGAGCGATGTGATGACCGAGCTTGTGGTGAACGACGTACCGGAGAGACTCGTGGGCAAAGCCAATGCGACGCGCGTATGTATGTACGTTCCCGCATATGATTCCATTATGTCCCATAGACCGACAATAAGAAACTTGTAAATTCGACAAACTCCATGAAAGTCGAAAAATTGCAACTGGGTTCACGGCTGAAATTTATTTACCGCGTAATTACGCGGTGTCGCATGCATGTGCCAGCTGACTGTTGAGCCTCTCGCAGCCGGAGCAACGTGGATTTGTGTGTAATTTTATACTCGACTGAGAATGACCCAGTTTGTCTCTTATCGGTCAAGACGGCAGACTTGGGCGGACTCTAGACCGAAACGCGTTTTCTACTTGCCGCACGGTAGCTACGTAACTACGTCGCTACGTCCCTGGGCTGACTCGAGTGTCTCTAGCGGCAACGACTCGCTCTTGCGACCGTGTACATCCGCCGCAGCCGGCCGTAGCGGCCTACTTGGAATATGACTCGCTCGTGGAGATTCTCCTTCCAACGCGACGTGGTCAACCGGCCAGCTCGGAGCTCCAAGGAACGTTCGTGGAATCATCGCGGAGGAAAAACAACGCGGCGGATCTAATCTCGCCTTCTAGCCGTCGAGAGAATGACGCCAACTCTTTTCTGGGCAACTCTTCTTTCTTTCCTTTCAACTAAAAGCGACTAACATTCGCTGCAACGTCTCATTCGCGCGTCCCCGAGCGGGAATTTCAAGCCGTTTCAGGCGAATCCGAGAGACGAGCGAGTGAAATCAATTTAACCATTCGAGCAAGCATCTCAAAATTACCGTAGCTTCGGCTTTACTGATTTTACTTTGCTTACTGTCGAACGGTGTTATATAACTTTCACATTTTTATTTCGGCTCGCGCTTATCGCCGATATATTATGCCGCGCGAAGAATCGCTCGCGCCAACGATTGAAACGACTAGCAAGTTTCAAATTATGACGGGGGAATCTTCGAAGCGAGTGGATTTCCGTGCACATCGCCCTACGCGTCGCGAAAGTGCGTTGGAAGGAAGATAAACTTGCGAGAGCGAGGGGGGGGGGAGGGGGCGGTACGTGTAACGCGGGTTAATAATTTCACTCCGATCGGCGAAACTTGCTCGTTGTCTCTCGACTACTACCTCCCGCGAGGAGCACGTATTCGGGGATACGTACTTGAAAATTTCGGGGAAACTCGGCGAATGGGGCGCGCGCCCGACTACGGATGCGGCCGTAATCTCTCCGGCGTCTCCTCCTCTTACGTGCGATATTTGCGAAGCGTGACCGGGCACTTGTTGAATCGACAACGGGAACGGGAACAAGAGGAACCTGGGGGGTGATGGAGAAAGGAGGTGCGTGCACGTGCGCGCGCGCGCGCACACGAAAGAGAGACAGAAAGAGAGACTAGAGCAAAGCGCGGAGGATAGCGCGGGAGAAAGGGGCGGGCGGGCGAAACGGATGGGCGGTTAGAGGTAAGATGGTTAGGGAAAGAATAAAGCGCGAGGGCGAGAGAAGGGACGAAGAGGTGAACGCGGGAGGAGGAGCGGAGAGGATGACCGATGCGAATGAGGGTGATTGGGGGTGATTGGGGAAGACGAGGGTGAGGCGACGCGCAGATGGGACAGTAAGGAAGAGCGAGGGATGAGGAAATACACTAAGGAGGATCAGTTGTATGTGGCGATAATGCGCGGTTCTTTACCAGCCGTAAATCAGAGTTGAGAGAGGCGCCACGCCCCGACGCTCCTTTTCCACTTGTGAAATCCTCGCTGCTTGCATCTCGTTTGGAAACTTGGCGATCGCGGGGGATTAACGCGGCGCTAAATAAGGGTCTCGCGCCCGGCCAAGTGGCGATCCCGCGATTAGAGAGCGACAATCGTTTCGCGATATATCGCTGGCGCTTGACTCCTTCGCGCGACACAAGTCGGCTACGTCCGATCCGATCCAATCTGCCGGTTTACTTATACGACACACGCGCATTCCGACGTTTGTTCTTCAACTTTCGTACGATGCTGAACGATCCTGCATCCCGGTGTCACGAACAGTCGCGGGGTCTATTCGTGCGTCACAGTTTTTCGCGTGGTCGAGCTGCTGCACATAACTCACGTATATCGATACTTAAGTACAAAGGAAGTCATATTGTAGATTCCGTGCGGCGACTTGGACGTCGGGTGATAAAACGACCGGGATTCGCCACGAGCGAGCAACAGGCGTCAAGCGAGCGAAAACACAGGGAATAAAACCCGGGCAAGTTTTATCGCGGTTCAAACTCGAGACGAGTGGGCACGTGAGCACCCGAGATGCGTCGCGGGACCTGGATAATCGCATAAATCATCGGCAAGTATACAAGTGAGGGAGGAAGCGCCTCTCGTCTCCGAAGGAATTCGTCGGTGCAAACCGACGCGATGCGCTACA